AAGGATAAACTTCGGGGAACCTGTAGCGCTTTATTTAGCGTTTCCTTGAAGCCTTCAGCACATCACAAGGAGTCAACTCGAGACACTGCTAGACTAATAATTGATCAATTAGTATGTGCGAGTGACTGATAACCAGCTCAGCCGTACTATCTCAACATTATCGATAAGCTAGTCGCATTCATTCAATGCACGAGTGGTAGATGAATCATGAATGGTGAGCCGCGCCTAATCTTCTCCAGGGAAGTCTCCTGCATACACTAAGGTAGTTAATCTACTCCGTACAATACTGTTTTGGGTGCTAAGGTAGGTACATCTTGGTTGGCGCTAGAAACGCAGCAGAAGAATTAGGGGCTTCTTACTGACCGCCTCAGCCTTCGACAGACCTTCCCTCTCTAAACTTGGCAGCTCCCACCTCGGGATGGTGCAATGAAGGCTGGACCAAGACATGATGATACCTACATACCCGCACGTTAATATTCTATGAAGGTATGTTGGATTAGGGGACTTAGGGATCAGAGTATACTCTGTAGATTACTTAAAGTCGGAGCGTTGAGCTAAGTCTCAGATAGAGTCTCATAATTGGGGTCAGCGTAGGCGACGATCTCCAATGCCCACATGCCTTAGTACCTAAGCTTCAAGCAACTACAGAGTACGAGGTAACTGATAAGATTAAGAGACTGTGGATCTAAGACTGTGACCTGGCGCGAAAGGTCCATCACTGGATTCAGTGCAAACCCCAGTATACAAAGGCCCAAAGGGATGCCTGCACTGAGACAGGTAGATTATGTCTTGTCCAGCCACGTGTTATCCTATCCAGACCTGATTATGAGACATTTGATTCCTCAAACCCTTTAAAGTGACACAGTATGTATGATTTATCAGTTTATGCAGGCGAAGCAGAATACATGCTTGATGCAGGGGCGCGGAGTAAATATCGGAACAGGGAGATCCCCAAAGTGCAGATCTCTCAATCGCACTTGAACATCCATCATTTTGTTGCTGTGTACGGAGTAGCATTATATCTATCAAATTGTTAAATGTTTGTCCCTCGGTCCAATCCATGTCTCTGAGGCCTTTGAGCAACACTCTAAACTGCTAATATCTGAACGTGGACCAGTCGGAAAAGTCCCTAATATACTACCTATGACCAGCACTGTGCAGTATGCTTCTCCGAATTTGCTAAATAATGGGATCGGTGTACCTGCGTCGTCACAAAGTACCTCCTGTTTCCTCGGATCAACGGCCAACCCTAGGTAGCGATCTAACTGAATGAGGAGAATTTGGCTTGTGATTGGCAAGGATGACAGTTTCACAGTAATACTTACCTTATTGACTCAAGGTATTATGAATCTTTTGGCTGTCTTATGGCTATGCTTTGCCTAAACCAGTCACTTATTCCGAAGTAGTAGGATGTAGAGATGTACGTACGAAATACTTGTTTCCTCCATAAATGCGTCAGCTTCAAGACCTAGTACTTGTCCACAGTCCCATGATTGATACCGAGGGAGCTTGATGGAATTATCAAACCACTGTACGACTATCCGATTCCTGCAGATGATCAGATCATATGACTTCCACAGAGACACCACTTGACCCTATCTCTCTGGCGCCTGGAGCGATGAGCATACTATTATCATCGGCTAACTAGAGGGGCTAGTACTAGCCTAGGCAGTAGATAGTTTGTTCTGGAAACATTCTAACCTTCGAACCAGAAGAATGGCCTCTTCTGTGGATCCCTTAATAATCACTGACCCGTTCGACCGGTACGTAAGTACCGAAGATCACTCTTCTGGTTCTAACGAAACACCATTGTGTATTGGACTTTGTATGGTACTGGCAGTCATGTTAAGATAATGTATTTCTACTGGCTGACCGCCCTAAGAAAACAACCCGACATTACTCCGTACTCCGTACCTCACCATAATTGGAAATTACAGATTGCCAGCCACCGAGGCTGCACCGCCTTCCGAGCTCAGACTGACCGCCTTTGGAACGCCACCTCAATCATGCAAACAATGCAAAATCTACTATCTCCATCGTCTCTAACTGGAATTTTTTGTTTCCGAGCAAATTCGATAAGCCTTTCCAGCATAGGCTTGAATTGGACCCGATAAGCTCAATTTACGATTCTGAGCATCCTCCGGTTTGATCAATATTCAGCAGCGAGAAAGGAAGGCTGCGGACTTGGAATTCTAATTGTGCCAGGATGGAGCCCACCGCCCAGACACAACCCATGGCGGTCACGCCCAAGCATGACCTCGAGAACGGTGCTTCGACTGCTGCCAACAATGAAGAGCACCCGTCCAAGAAACAAAGATTGGAAAGCGCCTCTATCACAGAGCAGGAGATGAGCGACGGCGCTCCCAAGCGTGTGAAGGGCGTAGCCCCAATCAAGGCTGAGTATGCATGAACGAGACTTCATTCTGTTGATACACCGTTAATCATGACTTTAATAGGTTCATAGTTCAGAAACTCGCACGATCCCAGCCCGTTGAAGAGAGCGCGGTCATTCTCAATGCCGACGATGCGGCCGAAGCCGCTCCCTACCAGGAACGAGAGGGCGAACAAAGAGGAAAGAAAAAGGTCTCGGGCCAGAACAAGGGGCGCGATTTCGGAAGATCCGAAGATGCAAAAGGCCTTTGCCCGTCAAGAGCTTTCAGCCCGGAATTTTCGCCGAAGGAATGCAAGTTCGGCGAGAAGTGCCGCTTTGAACATGATCTGCGAACGTACCTGAAAGAGCACAAGCGGGAAGACCTTACAACTTTTGGTGGCATCTGCCCGATATTCGACGCCAAAGGCAGATGTCCGTATGGGTTCAAATGTCGCCTTGTGGGCTCCCACATGACTGAGCGAGATACTTCTGATGGGAGAAAAGAGCTGATCCTACTCGAGGATGAGGAGCGCAAGAAGAAAGCCCGACCGCTTGTTCCATATGCGTCAGAAGACGGCGTTGTGAATATTGTTTCAAACGAGGACAAGATTGCGGTAGCCCGGAGAAAGATAACGACTACCAGATCTGACGCATACTTAACGTGGCTCGACAAGACGTCGAAGGCACTGGAGAAAAACCTTCATGGTCGGCATTTAGAAGAGGGTGGAGCGGAGGAGGAAGCTGGTGCTCGAACCAAGGATCAGGTTCAAGAGACCAGAGCAGCCTACGTCGAGCCGCCATTCTTACCCTCAGAGAAGCGACGCATCTACTTTGGCCCAGAAACTCCTGCCCTAGCGCCTTTAACGACACAGGGAAATCTCCCCTTCCGGAGGCTATGTACAGATTATGGCTGCCAATTTACATATTCTGAAATGGCCATGGGCATGTCTTTGATTCAGGGGCAAAAATCAGAATGGGCGCTGATGAAAGCGCATGAGTCCGAAGCGCTTCCGCCCACAATCTCATCGACAGCCGATGTTGTGCAGGGTTATGACCACTCTAAGGATCTCAAATTCGGTGCTCAAATTGCAGCCAACAAGCCTTGGCACGCGATCAAAGCTACGGAGCTATTGGGGCGCCTGACCCCTAACCTGCGTGTCATTGACTTGAACTGCGGTTGTCCTATCGACCAAGTTTTTCGCGAAGGAGCGGGTTCCGCGCTCCTTGACCATCACTCAAAACTGGAGAAGATGCTTCGTGGTATGAATGCCGTTTCGGAGACGATCCCGATCACAGTCAAGATTCGCACGGGAACGAGAGATAACTCTCCGATTGCCACGAAACTCATTGAACGTTTGGTTCTCGGAGGTCATGAATCTAGCATGTTGAATGTCGGGCCTCCTGGCGTCGCAGCCATTACCCTCCATGGGCGTAGCAGACAGCAGCGATATACGAAGTCGGCGGATTGGAGCTACATCGCCGAATGTGCCGCACTTATCAAACGACTGAACGAGAAGACAGACGATGTCACGGATACTGTTCGAGAACCAGATGAACGTATGCTGCCAAACGGTGGCAAGGTCTTTTTCCTTGGAAATGGAGATTGCTATTCCCACCATGACTACGACGACCATATCAACAATGCCGGTGTGGATGCCGTCATGGTCGGTCGAGGAGCAATTATCAAGCCATGGGTCTTCGAGGAAATTCAGGCAGGTCAGTACCTCGACAAATCAGCTACAGAAAGATTGGCCATGGTCGAGAAATACGCCAAGTACGGCCTAGATACCTGGGGCTCGGATGAGCATGGCGTTGGCACGACGAGACGTTTCATGCTGGAATGGCTGAGCTTCACTTATCGCTATGTACCGATCGGACTGCTCGAGTACCTCCCCCCTCACATCCAAGACAGACCCCCTTCGTGGAGGGGCAGAAATGAATTGGAAACCCTCCTGGGCAGTTCCAGTTACAAAGACTGGATCAAAATCACGTAAGTTTTCTCTGCGCTCAGGAACCCCTTATGAATACGTTATTGATCAATCATTTCTAGGGAAATGTTCCTTGGTCCAGCACATAAAGATTTCAAATTCGAGCCGAAGCACAAGTCCAACGCCTACGAGCCGCAGGGTTGATGGGCGGTGCCACAAAAGTATAGAAAACTAGACATGATTCATTGGAAGACATCATATAAATGTACATACTTGGATGATGTGAGAAAAGTACATATTTATCATTCATCGAGCTGGGACATCAAGGATTCACTAAACGACATATCCGCCCAAGACCTCAATCACGTGACCCATGGCAGATCTGAGCGGTGATGACGTCTTGCTCACACGGTCACGCCTCAAAAGCTGCAAAAAGACCACCTCAGCCCTCCTCTTGCACTAGCATACGTAACATCATCCCTATTCCCTGCTTTCAAGAGCTTCAGTAATTGATCTTCAAGTTTTGCTGGGTATAAATCTTGCCTTTAACTCATTGCTGATACTGCCCTGAAACCCTTCCCATCTTCTCTGACGCTTTGTTTATCCGCTTGAATCTTTCTCCCGAACGACTCCGTTGCAACCTTGGAAGGGCAAACAACTATCACAATCGTCTAGACCGTTGTTACAATACGCAAACCAAAATGACTCTTTACTACAGCTTGGTATGTGCACTCTTATCTTTGAAGCTCTGATCTTTGTCGCAACCTGAGCATTGGGGTATATTGCAGCCTAAATCGTCCAGGTAGCTGCGGCGGCACCACTCAGCTACAATCCTCAATACATTGACCTTACAGGAATTGAGTTCTATGCTGACTGGTCTCTCAAGGTCTTCTGCCTTTTGGTATTTGAGATGGCCGTCTTCATGGGCCTTATCATCCCGCTTCCTTTCACTGTCAAGCGGAAGCTGTTTACATTCATTTCGGAAAGTCCCTTAGTAGCAAAATTACAATATGGATTGAAGGTAACCTCTCGAATTCGAGTACCTGGGACGTACCGTTTACTAATCTATGTCTAGATCACATTCATATTCATATTGATTCTGTTCATTGACAGTGTCAACCGCGTCTATCGCGTGCAATTGGAGCTCGCTTCTTTCACTAAGGATGGCAATGGAATGGGGTAAGCATACCGAGATCATTGTCCTCCACTTTTGATATTGTGACTGTTCTGACCATATGCGCAAATGCGTTTGTTATTAGTAGAGCGGCTGCACTTGGCACAGATCGCATGGAAGTCCAGGCTCGCAAGTTCTATTCCCAGCGTAACATGTACCTTTGCGGCTTCACTCTCTTCCTGTCTCTCATCCTCAACCGTACCTATACCATGATTCTCGAGGTCCTTCGCCTTGAGGACCGCGTCAAGCACCTTGAGGGCGACAAAAGGGCTGGCGGCAAGGACTCTGCCCGCCTCGCTCAGGCTGGTGATATCGGAGAGATTGCACGCCTTAGGAAGGAGATTGAGGCCAAGGACATTGACATTGAGACCCTGAAGAAGCAGTGTGAGGGACTTACCCGTGAATACCACAGCTTGGGCGACAAGGTTGCTGGCACCACCAACGATGGCTCCAAGAAGGATCTGTGATTCGGAGGATTGCCTCGCAATGCGGAAGCTCCTTTGGTTGGACCTTAGGAGTCTGGTTGGCGATGGAAGGCTGGGTGGGTGAAGATGTGAGCGACGTTGGTTTGAGGAAATGCTCATCCGCTAGAGGACGGCTCAGCATGCTGGATTTGATCTATACTGATTGATGGTGTGTTTCTTGGAACTGGCGGAGAAATCGAGGTCGGATGGCGTATACTGTATCTTGTGTGACGGCTGTTGGCTGGTTATAGCGAAGCCTTTCACTTTTTGGACGATGACATTGACTCGGTAGCATGATGTATTGAGCGTTCCATGAACCATAGGTCATCCAAAGGTGGCCGCTGAACGAGTCGAAGCGTTTATACTTGAAGGATTGACTGCAACCGGCAGTGCGAAGACTCAGTTTTACTGTCGCGAAAGCCGGATAGATCCCGGACCAGCCACTGTAATGGAGGAAATATGTGTATCATAACTGAGCAGCTTACTCTTTTGACTTTCTTAGCAGCGGGACGAAGCTTGCTGAACATACCGCAAACGTCAGAAAACCTTCGCGACTGAAGAAAAAAGTCATGATTAGAGCTTTCAATCATAATTCATTACGTGGGCATTAGATAAGAAAAGTCCAGAAACTAGGATAAACAAGCTCCTCCTCGAAGATCCTGCGCACTTGCGCAAGGACAAAACGTTCGACCTTGCCCACGTTCTTCAATACTTGCTTCCCATCTTCCTTGCGGCCGATCTCACTTTCTACCCGGATCTCCTGCAGCAAGCCTCCCTGGCGCTTTTGGGACGCTGAGGCTGAAGAGTCAGGTCGGGACTGCGGACGGTGGTCATCCCTGGCTGATTCCTGCTGTTGCTGCTCGGAACCAATCAGGGCGTCCGCGTCTTCCGCGGATAGGAAGCAGAAATGTACTCGTTTACGGATATATGCGATGACAGCTACGCCGTCAAAGGTGATGCCTGTGACATTGAGTTTTAGTGGCAGACCCACGAAGCTGGGCATCGGGTAGTCTAAGAGGATCTCTGCCGTCAAGGATAAGCGCACGTCGCCGGCGTACTTGACATGGCAGAGAACTTGGAAATCTTCCGGACGGCGCTCGCGCATCCGAGGGGGTAACGGTAGTTGCCCAGGGGCGACCGGTTCCCCTAAGTGTTCTCCGCCGTGAAGTGATGGATGATCATTTCTCCCGGTCGCACCTTCGCCGCTGTTCTTGGTTGAGCCCGAGGGATGGGAAGGCAGGGTATTTGCTGTTGACGGACGGGAAGTCGAATTGCTGGTGTCGATCTCGGGTTCGGCGCGTTGGTGCTGCATCCCGGCGTGTCTCTCCGAATGACCCCTGTTCCCCGGCCCCATGCCGGAATCCGACCAACCGCTCGCAAATGGGTTGCCCCCCGCCACTGCAGCAAGGGGTGTTTGCGTACCGGAGAGGCCCCCAAGCGACATCAGGTGATAACCTAATGTCGAGGTTCCGCCCGGAATACCAGGAGTACCTGCACGGGGGAGGAAATGGGAATTGAGGTGCTCGCCTAAAGGCGATCGCAAGGGAGAGGCAGGAAATCCGTCAGGGAAAGGATCTCGTAAGGAATGATTCACGGCTGTATCTTCTCGGTAGGAGGGTTCATTGAGCTCGGGATGGGTTCTGTTCCACTGACTCGAGCTCTCCGAATCAAGCTCCTCGGACGCATCGGACGTATCGTCGTCATCATCTTCCTCGTAGAAGTCGGCAAAGGGCTCACAGAAATCTTTAATTTCGAGCTCCGGCGGAATGGTCCCAAAATCGAAAGCGTGGACTTGGACAGAACGGATGAACCGGGGCAGAGCGACCTGCTGGAATCTATCATGAATGAACGAGCGGATGCGCTCAGCCAGAGCTTCCCCGTCCGGACCGGAGGTGGCGGACCTCCAGTTGACGTCTATGGACATTACATGTGCGAACAAAGAAGACCTGCGCAGGTATCTGCTGGTCCTGATGTGAGGAAGCAATTTCCAAATTTGACTCCTGACGCAGGCGAGAGTCAGTCAAGCTGAAGGATAATTGTTTGACGCCATAACGGAGATTCCTCGGCTGTCTGCGGATCGAGTCACGTGATGACAAACAACACCCAACATCGTCAAAACAACCAACAGACTCAGGATCTTCAGACAACTGCGGTCCTGGCTCTATATCGGTTACACAACGGTTAAAACCAAGTCAACTTTCTTTGTTGGCCACGTTTTGGGCTGGTTGATCACTCTGGCCGGGCACTTCTACTGTGGACGGCTGTCACACCGCTAAAGGTTGCTGTCCCAGCAGTCCGGTTCACCCTCTTTCTTCCCGACTTGTTCTCGTGGATACGAGTAGAAACTGGCAGAAATCTGCCAGAATCTTACCTTGATGAGGGAAAGAAAAGACTCCTGGCGGTAAGGATTGCTCATTGACTCGTGGTATGGAAAAAGTTGAAAGGACTATCAAGGTTCATGACTGCCATGAGACCTGCTGTGCAACCGGGCCATGAGATGTTTCTCCTTTTGACTTCAACCCACCGTCAGACACCAACAGTACAGGGGCACTGAAGACAGCCATTGGTCTACCAATTGTTTGTCTCCCAGGAAGAGGATGGGAAATTACACCATCTGGCTCGGTTGCCTGACTTCTGTTGTTTTTCTATCTGAAAGCGCTCCGTCATAGCCTGCTTGATAATCTAGGCCCCTTGACTGCGGCAAGGTGGTGGCAGGTCGAACCGGAAACTCCGCATCTTGTTTTCTTTCAAGGCACTCAACAGCGAGCTTGGCGCAAAGAAAATGCGCCACAAATCGATCGTTTTCTTTGACAGGGAGACGTAAATCGCCCCTCCCCCCACGCCTCGTCAAGTTGATCTACGATTCTGAGATTCGTGTCTCTACTATTGAAAGGCTGCTGATCTAGAAGCTTGCATATTTGTTTCATGATTACGAACATCCTGCTATCATGCTCCGATCCTGCCGGCAGCCCATCTACTCACCACTACACTCTCCCCTGCCCGTAACCCACCAAGATTTGCGTCCCAGGTAGGCGCTACCATTTCGCTTCCCGAAACAGCTTCTTTGGTTCCCCCAGTGAAGTGCTTGCGTCAGTGTTGGTTCCACTTTGACTTAGATCGACACCTCATAATTCCAGTCGTGTGTACCCGATTTCAGCCGCTGATTGGTTGCTCTGAATCAGATGATAGAAGTCGTCTGCGGTGCTAATGCAACCACGTAACCTGTGATGCACATATCTACCAGTCATGAATGCTAGGGTCTTCTGGACTCGATATTGCACCAGTGGGGTCGTCTAGGCGTCCGAGAGCAGACACTAGGCCTCGAGTGCGGTTTACAATCCCTCTGAAATTGCTAGCCTGCTGCTTGCTATAGTCTATGTTCGTTTATCTCTTGAACTCCGAAGTCCCGAGACTCCAGGCCTGTATCTAGCGGCTCCTAAGTGATCCCACTCCCCTTCTCTCAAGCCACAGGTCTCCTAGGACTATGCACTTTGGACGTTTTACCGGTTTGCATCAGGCTGTTGCCTTCTTTCATTGTGGTCCCTTTCAATGGCTGAAGATCAGCATAACACATGACTTCCTCGGTGATCTACATTGTAATGCAGAGAGCTCGTACTCTCTTTGTTATGAGCAGCAGGTTTGAAGAAGCAACAAAAGGAGTGTGGTATTCGACTATCCAAGTAGAAACAAAAGGCAAGCAATGCATATGCAGATGGGTAATTGGCCACCAAGCGAAGGGACCTGGAGAGAGGAGCAGAAGGACCTTGATCACCTGGAGGCTGTAACAAGTGCAATCGCAAACGAGCAGCTGGAAAGCAAACAGAAATACAAGACTGTGCTTAAAACATGTCTGTACGCATGGGGCATGAAAGAAAGTACCACATAATCCTTTCCCATAGTTTTCCTCCTCTTCCGTCAAACTGAGATGCCTTCATCCTCCTCGCCCAGACACTGTCCCCTTCCCTGCATGCATTGAAACAACAGCAATGCACAATGGAGAAATCGTAGATTGAGTTCTCAAATCATTGCGCAGGAGCTCAAGTCTGCCAATCTGTCAGCCCAGCCCATCCCTGCATCTTGAAAGAAGAGTGTCCAACTAACTGCTCTGAACACTATCCGCCATGCGCAGGGCAGTTGTATCCCTCTCGTCGTCGGATCTGCTGTCTGACGCCGGTGCAAGAGGTGCCTCGCTTCGCGCAGTAGACGACATCGCCTTCCGGGACGGTGCAGCCGCAGTCGTACTTGTAGAAATATTGCGAGCACATCCTGAAGAAATGGCCTTCGAAGTAAATCGGTTATGGAGAGAATTGATATCGAGTTGTTGTTCGCGGGAGATCGGTCGTTCCACTTGAGCAAAGGATAATTCCGCACACGGAGAAGTACTTCAAGTTCCAAGAGGGCTTTTTTGTTTTGTTCTCTGAGATTCTGAGAGCACTGGATTTGTGATTGTTGAGATGATGGGTTGAGGTATTCGACGGGTCTTTATGACCCTTTAAATAAGATTGCGGCAGCCTTTGGAGTCCTTCGAAGATGATAGAGAGGACAGTTTGAATGACTGCGGCCAAACTGTGCCGCAACAACACTATCTACTCAAATTGGTAAATGAAGGCATGCCCGAGGAGAAAGACTAAAAGTGAGAGAGAACGACAAGGATACTAAGAGGAAAAAAATAAAAAAAATAGATAACAACATGTAGGGATAAAGATGGGTCAAGGAACAGTAAACTACGCATGCAGCTCTCGCCTTGCTCGTTTCGGCCCCTTGACATATTAAGTTGAAAGTTGGTGATTCGATCTACGTCGTGTTTGCATGAATTCAACCCAACATTTTCCAGAACACATAGCAAATCAGACGCTTACTTGTTTCCGAGAACTACTGCACTAGGTTTCCCCAACACCAAGCAAGACTGGCGGTTATGCGGATCATCAAAGAGAATGGCGGCCGACGATGTCAGCCTAGTGGATAGTTCACTTGCCAGTCAGAGCAAATAGGGAGATTGTGGCTATCAAATTCCTCCGACAGGAGTCGATCACATACCCTGGTCTCGAACTCTGTGGATTTAGAGTTCCGCATCTGCATTGGGAGAAAAGGGTTGACATCATACTAAAGACACTGTGGCATTTCCCGCCAGGGGGTGGCCGGTCACATCTGCGAGAGGCAGGAACCAACAGTAGCCGTCTATCAAATCAGTTGCGATAGCTAGCCAACAGGTTGACCCTTTGTCTGTCATGGCGCAGTCAGGCATACTGCTTCGACTGAGCATCTGACAATTGTCACGCAACCGACAGACTCTGTGACTCTTCATCTATCGATGGACACTGCGAAATTCATTTCCTGTCATGTGTTCTTCATTCCACTGATCATCAGGGAGGGTGGGCGGAAAGGTCATCATCAGGTAGGTCCGATAGAGGAGGGCATACCGCAACCAGGGTCAATGAGATCTGTGCCAGACTTGTTGGATCGTGACTTTTACCACTGATGTGAAACATCTCGCATCAAGGCTGAGTTGATACCCAGACGGATGAGCCACCTGCCCTAGGTGCCGCATCTCCATAGGCACACTCGCCGTCCCACATCAACATCAACATCAACAGATGGAGATTCTCTGTAGTGAATGGAAACAGAGTGACCAAATCAAGCACAATAGGTGGGGCTAGAGTAACGACGCTGCAAGAAAAGCATTGTGATCACAAGAATCGAGGCTTCTTGTCGTTCATCTGGCCAATCTCAGTAACACCTACCGAGGCGCAGTTGGTGATGTCTGCAAGACTCGGTCAAAACCCGTTGGTTTAGATCCGCATTGTGATGGGGAGTCAATTGAAGTAGTTTACCCAGGGCTGTCCCCGTTCAGAATTGTGATGCCATTTGTTCTTCAGTGTCGGCTGTTTGTGACACGACTAGAACAGAGTTTGTGAGTCACTGGCTAAACATCGAGAAATGTATCCTTTGAGGAGACATATTCGGCGCCGCAAAACAATACCAGCCTATAAACTCGCCTTTCGGCTCGAATCGCGAGCACTTACGGGCTCACCGAAAGGTGACGAGTTTGGACCTGAAGATGGCACAGCATTGGGGGCGCCCTCAACGAAAGTTGAAGGATAGTCTATGGGGGAAAGCTGACCTAAAGCCCTCGTTGAGCCGCTGAGCACCCGCGCCACAAACAAAAGAGAGTATTGCACTTTCGTATCGGCGGCGGAAAGAGGCTTGGAGGCGCCAAGTCAGCGACTATCCACAGGTCGAACCAGGGGCAAACGGCCTTAGATTAGCCGCCGTTGGCTGTTTGATCCGAATGGGCAGGTAGATAATATAGCCAAGGCGGTTTTCCTTTGTGGTTGTGCGATCAGGCGGAATCACAATGGGGGAGAATCAACTTGGATCTGGCTGAGGTTGCTATTCCTGGGTGCAAGGTTATCATTTCTTGATGTTTGTTGCCTGCGTTTCTGCTCCAAGGGGGGCTAAGCACGTGACCTTGTGGTTCCTGCGCCCTTTGCATCGTCTTCTCCAACTTATATGTCCACATCCTATATTACTGGACCATCTGAAGGCTGTGCTCATTGACAGTAGACAGGTTCTTCGGGAGTCTCTCTCACTTGATGGTATCAGGTATATGAGAGGCTCCGGTCGTATGGCTCAACAGCGGTGCCTCTTCTCTAGACTCACCTCGAGACATACACACGGGCGATCTGGGCTTCAATCCTTACGTCTTCTTTGTGGGGTAAACTTATGCTTGCTAAACCCTGTCCCGCAGTACTTCGGCAGATCCTAGAAGCCTCTTGAGAATGTTCTTCATGGTCAGCAACAATCTTTCACATAACTGCCAAGAGGACCACCAGAATGATCGACCCGGTCATTTGCGTGAATCGTCCTAGGAAGGCTTCGAGAATTGGAACGCTAAACCCTACGCATGATTTCCTCCCCTTTTTTCCTTTTCTTTCGAGAATCTACTGTGGTTGCTGCCGCTGAGTGCTAACCGCCAATTCGTCGTGGATAGTCTAATCGATAGTTAGAGCTCCTGTCTTGGCTTTACTTCCTGGTTGCTGATCACCCGAGGCTGAGCGGCTGTCGTCGGCCCCAGTCAGTTGCTTGTGTGAGGGCCAACACCAAAACTATGGATACCTACACAACGACATTATTTGACCCTAATAGCGGTGCACTGCGCAAAGAAATATCCAGCAAAGGCTTGGCAGAGTAGGAACGTACACGCAATGATCATGCTGGGTCTGGCAATAGGGATAAATCCAGCTCCCTTGGATACTTGGTATCTAGGCCAAGGAACGCAAAGGGGAAGGGATGAGATTTCATCTACCAATAATGACGTCTTAGCCCCTCCATATCTGGCACTATCCATATTGCTCTAATCATGTGAAAGGACCTTGTGCAGCATGCCTGATCCACTTTCCGACGGGGAAATTGCAAATGGGATGTTTGACGGTTTGATACCGGCTCCTCTGCTTAGTTGTCCTGCAAGTGAGACGCGATAACTCCCTGGATCGGCGTCTTTCGGTGGACTCAATATGATCCTCCGACAGTAGCCCCTCCTTCTTGAATTCAGTCTTGGCTGGTATCTTCACATGTATATAAAGGGTCGCCGAATCTCGTTCCGGTTTGTCTTCTTGATCGTTCCTTAGACATCGTCCCATCTCTTTCTCTGGGTTTCTTGCAAGTCTGCTTGGCCGGTCGAACCTATATAACTCCCTCCCCATCTCCATCTCCATCTACATCTCCATCCTAGCCACTCTTGAGCACGCTGCTGTCGTCTGTCCTAAACAAAATGTATACCTACACTCCCACCGGCAAGTTCCTCGTCCTCTCTCCTGTTCAGTCTCGCCCTGAGCAGACCAGCAAATTCCTTGTCCTCACACCCACCGAATCTGGTCCTGAGTATGAGCTTGGCACATCATCTCCCGCCTCTCCTGAGATTCGGGACCGTTCAGACAGCGTCAGTACCGAGGAGTCGCAGATTGAAGCTGCATTTTCTCCCTTCGCTGGTGGCTTTCTCTACCTGGGCCACGGTATCAGACCTAAGCCGGTGGACGTCTAATGAATCCACTTAAAACAACCCTACCACTCTGACCACCCTATGGTTCAATCGCGCTGGACACGATACCAATTCATCAGCATGGTCAGCTGATCTGTCCTGAGACACTCAATGGCGTTCCTTGGTCTAAATTTTAGCGCTTTGTCATGGTCAAATACGGCCCAGTGAAGGGTCCACGGGGTCTTTTTCTAGGTTCTTCTTTTTCGGACGCATTTTTGCTTTTTCAACTTCTTCCCAGTTTACAACCTGTTTTGCAGAGACAAGTCATTACACATTCAATCACATCACCATTGTGTATCTGCTCATCATTATTGCTATTTTAAAGGAAGGGGGGGAAGCCGATGACCGCCAAGCCTTGTGTGCAATCTGATAATGGCCCAATTGGGAAGAATCGATCATCCATGTCTCACAGCCAAGCAATGGCAAACTGTCTGGGATAACTGCCAAGAAGCGCTCATCCCTTGTTTGTTGACAGTACTCCGTAGATAATACGTAGTCCTCCCTTTTTACGGAGTAGTGGTCTACGGATATTATGTCCACATATTTGTTCCATCTAACAAACGGAGTCGTAAGCATGGTAGGGAGTAGTTAAACAGATACTACCATAATAATGAGGAAGCAAGCCCACCGGATCTTGATCTGATCTAGAAAGTGGGATGCGGCATGCAGCAGCCTATAGACTAGCCTTCCCTTTCACCGGTCATTCAAATCTGATCTAAGCTTCTTATCTAGAGGAGGGAAGAGGGCGGATCTAGACTCCACCACGGGATACTCCCCCACCTCCTCCTCCGTACATTCCTTTCCCCCGATGAACGGAGCGGAGTGTCAATATTCAGTAATGCTATTGCTACGTAGTACTTGTACCACAATCAGGATCATAATGACCAGGGTCACGAGCATTCAGTCCAAGGGATACATAAATAGATAGATAGTTGAAACATTGGCATTCATTCCTGCCAAGGACTCTCGTCCTCGGGCGATTCGGCCCTCGCGGGTAGAGACCTACTACCTATACCAACGAGTTAATCACTGCAGGATAAGCACTACCGAAGTACTCCCTTCGAGAACATTCGTTCATCGATTAATCGAGAAACGCAGACTCCTATTCCGGCTCCAGAAGTGAAGTTTTACTGCGTAGAATAGATTCTCACTTTCTCTACAATAACGTTTGCATTTTCGGTATACCCCTTGAAGGATAGGAAGAGCAGGGTAGAGTATACTGGCAGGGAGCACTCGAGCTCGGTACACACACAGCGCGCAGACTAGCGGCGATCCTCTTGGCTTGCATCTTGGCTTGACCCCTTTCCTGCCGGGGTATGTCTACAGAGTCTAGATACTCCGTACAGCACAGTAGAGGGTGGGTGGAAGACGGAAGTACGGGGTAGAGGTGCTTTGTTGTAAGGATGCGCATCCAGGGATATTTCGTCATGGCTATCGGTACTCTGTAAGGCTTATCATTGCATCTGTGGCAGACCAATGATGGCGTTTATTCGATTTTGTCACTAGCCGATAAATCAAGGGGAAAAGCCTGAGTTAAGATATATTCTGGCTCAGGCTCAATCACATGCCATACGGGCTAGTGTTTCTTGCATTTGAGTATCAAAGGAACCTAGTACTGGCCATTCACATATGCAGTTGCAACCGGAGCAAGTCTAAGTAATGGTACAAGCGTCGACAAATAACCCTACCGACGACAAGATGTATGGTGCAATGAATATACCTCAAAGGCGATGGTATTATATTACCCTGACATGATCCTGGACAAGAGAGCTAGTACTCATCCCAACCTCACCACTAAGAAGATCCCCTGCCTGCGTAGGAGCATCATGACCGCCGGAAAATAAACTAAAGAAGCGAAGAGAAAAGCCAACCTCGCGATGAAAAATAGGATCAGACACAGGATCAATTTACACTTAGGGGCTATAGTAACACGGGAAAGGAAACAATAAATTTGGACACGGGAAAAGGAAATGTATTCTTGACAAAGGAAATAAAAGGGGGGAAAAAAATAAATAAGGAGGAGAAAAAGCGCCATATGCTAGGTAAAGGCTATGTATGTATGCGGGGACAAATGGGCGCTAGACAATGCGAGGACAAACCCATGCGGCAAGCAACAGAAGCAGACAACAAGCTGGGTATCAAAGGGGTATCCAAATGACCATACTGCTCTCTTGCGATGTTGGACTTCTTCTTAGAGCCTGGTAGACGCAATTCCTCCTTCTCGTGTGTTTTCAAAGCTTGGCCTGAGTGTCGGCTTGTATCATCCGTCCTGTCCTGATGGGTGACACAGCTTCTCGCGTATCAGCCTTCGGACTCGCCGCACAGAAAGTCATGGGGATATTTTGCAAGAATTTCGATTCCCGAGAAGAAAGGTAGATGAACAAAGAAGAAAAGGGGAAAAGGGGAAAAGGGGGAATTAAAATTTACACCGGACCGGCTTGGTCTTGCCATGGTTCGGTTTGAGAATGGTGGTACAGTTCGCATGTCAATGGACGAGAGAACCGAAAAGACCTGATTCACCGGACGAGAGACGTGAATCAACGGTCATCACCCGCCCTGGATTTAGCTCTTCGACGGAAAAAGTCCATAACTTTCCTAGCCGCGCCAGAGCTACCGGAGTGATGGGAGGGATCTCGTTCGTACTCGTAAGCATCCGCAAACTTCCTATTGTTCTTCTGCAGAACATTGGGGCCTCTTCCCGTCCGGCCGGCCTGCATTGACGGCCGAGGGTCATGCGCATTGTTATACTCGTCATAGTAATTCGGCATCGAGTGATTGGCGTATTGATATCCGTATTGATGATCGTTGTCATTATGGTATACTTGCTCGGCCGACGTGCTGCTGTAAGAGGTAGGTTGGTACGCCGCCGATTGCAGACCGTGCAACTCGGCGAACTGTTGATCAATACGGGCTTGGTAGTTGACCGGCTCCCCTGAGGCCAGCACCCCCTCCCCTGGACCGTCAGAAACCATACCCATCGCATCTTGCGTTCCGTAGCTGGTGGCGCGCGCCCGAGGCCGGATAACTCCGGCCGACGGACGTTGCTGGACTCTCTGATCAGTGGAGCGACTTGTTTGGGACTCCTCTTCGGGGGTCTGCGATCGGCTTGAGGACAAACCCCTGAGGGAGAAAGACGCTGGTAGCAAAGAAAACCGGCGTGGTCTATTCTCCCCGCCAGTCTCGCTCAACTTCCGGTTAGACCCATATTGAATGGACCGTCGGGAATCCATGGATACTCGGATTTCCTCTCCGGCAAATGGATCCCTCATGCTTGTTGGGGGATACCGCTTGCTGGGCTTCTGACGAGGAGCCGTCTGCGTTCCACGACCGCCAAAGATGGATCCTGATCTCCCAAAGAGCTTTTCGCCGATGCCCGAGACCGTATTGGATCGCTTATGACCCTTGGGCGGTTCCTGCCGAGGGGTGGTGTTGAATTTGGCCGGAAGTGCCTGTGTGCTTGGCCGTCCGATGGACATGGCAGCGTGTTGCGAGGAGTCTTGAGGGATAGGTGCCGAGATCACATATTGCTTGCTCTTCGGCTGCGCAAGGCGACCCTGTGCATTGGTTGCCGCGACAGTAGGAGCCACAGGCTGTCCGTATGATCCCCGAGAGGGCAAGCGACCAGTATTGAACGATGCCATTGAGGCGCCCGTCGTAGGCCGCGTGGCTTGCGTCGGAGGCATCGTCGTGTGCGTTCCCGTGAGGGCAGTGCTGTCCGAGGTCGACCGAGGCAAGTGCCCTGGCGCAGGCGGCACCGGGCCAGCGGGTGCCTTGGGTTCTCCAGCCCGTGTTGAGCGCTGCTCCATATGAACCCCCGAGGGCAAAGCTGCTTGTGTGCTTGCCGTCGCATCTCGACTGCCGGGCCTTGCGGCTGGAAGGACGGCTTCGACTCCGGATGGCTTCGCGTTTGGGGATTCTGGAGCGGGGGGACTTTCTCCTCTTGCTGTCTGAGACTGGGGGGCGACATATTCGACCTGCACCGTTCGCCGTTTTGTGTCTCGAGAAGTCTTTGACCGATCGACAGACGGCTCTTGGGAAATGTCCCCGGATTGATGCACAAGCCCTCCAACCGTAGGTATCGAGCTCTGGTATGCCTTCGGAGGCTCTCTGACGGAGGCACTACGAGCCAGCGCTGGGGCTTCCCTATGACTTTCTGCAAAGCACGAAGAAAAGTTAGCGTCATGCGCCGAGAGCGCGTGTTTGGACACTGACCAGGTGGAACTGTCGTGTCGGCAATGTCCGCAACTTTGGTTGTACTACTCGTAATGTGAGACACAACATGCGAAAACTCGCTGAGCCAACTGTGCCGAGCCACTTCGAAAAGATCTGCTCGTTTGCGCGGGTCGGGCACCAATATCCGTCTCAAAAGATCGCGAGCATGTGGTGTCACGTATTCCGGGAACGTCAGTGGTGTACTAACAATGTACTTGTACAGCAGATTGATGTTGTCGCCATCTGGATTTGCTGGATCATCATCGAAAGGCAAATAGCCAGCCAACATAGCATACTGCCGAATGCCTTAGCATCTCATCCTTACTGTCCTCCAAAGGAAGAAAGTCTGTGCCAACTTACCAGGATTACACCGCAGCTCCAGACATCTACTTTGCGTCCAGTATATAATGAATCACTCACCACCAGTTCGGGGGCCGCATAACACGGGCTTCCGCAGCTGGTCTGCATCAGGTCGCCCCGTCTCATGCCTTTGGCGTTAGGCTTGTCTAAGCGCATTCGCTTTACGAACTCCTTGTTGGTGAGATTGTATTCGATCTCCTCGCCCAACTCGTCGCTTGGGTCAAACGTATTCGCGAAGCCGAAATCCGTGATGATGATGTTGCGGTTGCGATCCAGGAGCAGGTTTTCCAGTTTGAGATCTCGATGAACAATGCCTTTCTTATGAAGATACCCCACGCCTGATACGAGCTGGGCGAACAGTCGCCGAGCCGAATTGTCCTTGAGGTAACGATTGTTCAGAATGTGGTCAAAGAGCTCTCCACCTGATGCAT